AAATGTCTAAATAGACTAAATTAGCAACATAAACTCCATAAAGTTATCACTCATCAACACCAGGAGAAGAACCAACATTTACAAAAACATTTTCTTTCAATTGGTCCAACAAGTCATGACTATAATCGTCATGAAAATCTTCCTCATACTCTTCCTCAAGCACTTCTGCTTCATCCTTCTGGTCCTCCTCTATTGCATGAGCATCTACATTGGCAACATTGCATGTGTCACTCGCACTTTCCATTCTAGACTGGAAAGTGGCATTAACTAAGTATCGAAAAAGAAAACAAAGTGTTAGGATTCATCCATTGAGTTAGGTGGAAAGGAATAGTGAAAAATTAAACAACAAAGAAATAAGAGAGTTTCAGTTCTCACCACTTTCGAAATCCAACTTCTCTTCATCATCTTCCTTGTCATCAATCTCTCTGGATCCGATAGTTGGATACTTTATTCAATCCTCAACACAAATCAATGCCTCCACCATAGTATCGCTCAAAGAGGACCTGAATGGACGTGAGAATTTGGCATCCATAGTTGAATGTTGCCTCTGAGGAAACATAAGAGATGGGAACAGCTAGGATATCCTTAGCCATCTCCGCAAGAATCATATATATTCCAGAGTGCCGAGACCACCAACCCAAAATGCCAAACTTGGCATCATCACTCTCCTCATTAATGCCAGTACTACTACATTTGAAATAAATGTCAAGCTCAGCAGAACTACCTCCTGTCTCCTACAGAAGTGCTTCCCTTTTCCTCTTCTTGAGCCTCTCCTCAAGCTTCTTAATCCTATCACCTTCACCTTCATCGTAACTATCACCAACAATGCTCTCATCAGTGGTAGGCTCATATGCAGAGGAGGGTGGTGTTGGTGATTCATATTTTCCTTTGTAAACCTTAAACATCAGGCGCATCTCCGAAGAAATAGAATTCACAATTTCTTCTGCCTTTGATTTCTCATAAATCATTTCCAAAACCTCAGACACCATATCAAGTTTACTTCTACGATCAAGCACATATACTATGTAAATTAAGTGATTCGGCTTCATGTTCTCCTCAGCGAAAACAAGACTCTCAAACCAATACTTCTTTACCTTTTCCTCAACCTTTTTTGACATCCTTTGGATCTCTTCATTCGAATCTTTCTTCAATTCCTCAATGATGTCATATACTTGAACAAGTTTCTTGAATAAGAGATGGGTAGTCACATATTTAGTTCTTGTACAATAAGAAGAAAACACATAAAATTAGAGTAAAACAAATAAAATGATCAAATGGATAAAATAAAACAATGAAATTTAAATTCCACATACCCGACACTAGGTTGGTCAAGTCATTGGAGACTTTCAGATACTTCATCAATCTCCTAATCAGTTGTCAATCCTGTTCATTTGGAAGACCACCTCTTGAGTCAACATAATCTCTAAAGGAATGATCTTGTGGATTTGAATACAAAGTTGCAAACACTCCATCAAACATTTCTGCAAACATCATATAGGCGGAGTGTTTGATGGAGTGTTTGCAACTTTGTATTCAAATCCACAAGATCATTCCTTTAGAGCAGGACCGACCCACGATATTCGGAGGCCCTATTCGAAAATTTAAAGCGTGTCCCTAAAAAAATTTCTCGAAAATTTGAAATGTTGCCCTAAAATTTAATATAAGACTTCAACACCTTCAATTTCAAAAAGCTTCTTCATGATGTAGCAACAGTCACAGGAATAGTTAATAAGATTCTATAAAATATGTTTGCATTAGAAAAACAATCGAAAAGTTTAAAAAAAATTAAAATTTAAAAAAACAACTATTTATTATTGATTTAGTTATTTTTTTCCTTTATACTATTGGTGGCTTGTACATAACTATTTTGGTTAATGTTTAATAAATCAATGTGAATTATTTAATTAATTTAGCATTACTGTCTTGGTAGTACAAGCAGATTAATTGCAGAAATTGAATTCTTTTTCCCATTGTAAAGCTGAAAATGAAGAAAATTAAAACAACAAATTTAATAATGATAATAATGAGGCATCATCAATTACCTCTTTTGTGCTATTTAGGAAACACACGACAAAGAATAAGTTATGTTATATGGTTTGAAATTTTTTTAACAAGAAAAAAAGTATTAGCCTCATATGATTCGTTCGTTCCTTTAACCTTCGGACTTAAATGTTTTCTTATTGTTTTAGACCCATAATCAAAATCCAATTTATAGATTTTCTATTGTTTTAAATTTATAATCGAAATCTGATAATTCGTAATAGTAATTAGTCATATATATAATGGAGGTCTGTAGGCCCCAAAATTTGGAGGCCTTGTGCGGGAGGGCCGACTGGCACACCCTCAAGGCCGAACCTGCCTAGTTAGTACATCCAAAGACACCAATTTTGTCAAATTCACCTTCAGAAATTGCATGACAGTTTTGAACCTTGTCAACCTAGCTGGAGATGACTTCACCTATTTCACATAATCCCGAACTCTATCCACAGCACCTCCAATCACTTTCAGTATATCTCCCACCACCATATTAATTATGTGTGCCACACATCAAAATTGCAGCTACTTCCCATTCATCAAATCACACCCCCACTCCTTTAGCTTCGTTCTCATGCAGTCACTGAGAATATCATTTGAAGTTGCATTGTCCATGGTAGTGCAGAAGAGATTCTTCACTTTCCATTCTTCAAGAACTTCTGCAAGCTTCTCTTCAATATCCTTTCCAGTATGACTTGTGATGGGAACAAATGATAGAACCTTCTTCTGCAACTTCCAATCACTTCCAATAAAATGAGCAGTCACACACATGTAATTTTTGTTTTTATCAGAATTCCATGTATTCATGGTGATCAAAACTCTGCCTTTTCTCTTTGAGTTCTTACGGTGAGGGGTGGGGTTTAGTTTAGTGATTTTTTTTATTTCAATGAAACTTTATACTTTTAGTCTTTTACGTGTAAGACTTTTTAAATTCATTGTTCTTTTTTTTTTTTTTCAAATGATAGTCATTAGGGCTAGAATTTTTAGGCTAAATTTATAGCACTGGTTTGGATATGTTCATTTGGACCATTTTCCTAGTTACACAAAATCTTATTATCAAATAACATTGACCCAAATTTTAAATAGCATTGGGCCGAATAACTAAAATGAAAAAATTCATACGTACTATACTAGCTCTAAACCTAGAGAAGGCTGGGTCGTGGCCCAGGGTGGTCCACCCCTAGATCCACAAGTGGTGGTAAGATGACGTGAAGTTTTTTATAAAAAATCAAAATGGATATCATCTTGCATAGTACAAATTTACTATTTTTTATACAACTTTTATAAATATGATGTAAAAAACGTGAGATATCGTTTGTGTAAGATTCATTGAAAATTTAAAAGGTTCATTGACTTTTACCTGGAGATCCTCGACATCCGCACTAGCTCTAAGAATTCGGCAATCTATCCCAAAAAGCCATATTTTTCCTTTTCCTCTTTACTTATCAGCAAACCGAAATGTCAGATTTTGTCTCCGACAATAACCATCCATATTAAATTTTGTAGTTCTACAAAGATAAAAGTTGTATACTATAGTTCTCAAATATAAAAGTTTTATATTGGAAGTTTTAAACCTAGAGCTAGTTTGGCATTGTTATAGTATTTGCAAAAGCAACTTTTACTGAACCTGTAGAGAAGTATTAAAAACTTAATTGAATATTTGGTTGAATAACTAGTATGAGCAATTTTTAATAGAATAAATTATATAAAATGAGTGAAAATGATTTATAATATAAAATACAAATAAAAAAATGTTAAGAAGTAGTTAAGATGAATATTTTTAAATTTATTTAATATAAATATTATTATTTTTTATATTTTTAAATGATATAAATAATGAAAATATGTTTTCTGTAAACAATTAAAAAATGGTAGGATAATTTTGTATTTTCAGGTATAAAACATTTTTTTTTGTAGAAGTTTCTACTTTTATATTACAAAAAAAACATATTTCAGTTTTTTTCAAATCCGAGCTGTTAGAGGTGTTTGGCTCGACTTCACCTTTTGAACTTTGAAGCATCAAACACTTCACCCAACATATTTCTGTACACGAAGTCATACTAATAGTTGGAACACGGGTTGAGTCGGGTTCGACGGGTTGTGTAATCCAAAATCCAAACCCAACCCAAAAGTGGCGGGTTGTAAAAAGAAACCCCTCACCCAACCCAAAACCTTAATTTTAGCGATAAATACGGATGGGTTGGGTCGGATTGGACGGGTGGGTCGGTTTGCGGGTGTGTTTGTTCACCCCTAATATAGTTTGCACTCTTCCTCCAATCAAAAATCAAATTGATTGGACTAATTCGATTTGTGGTTACTACCCGACCAGTACATATATTCCAGTTTTCAATTTGACCGAAAAATTGGTACTAAATTGCTAGCCCTACCAAACATAGCCTATGTTGCAATGGGGCAGGTCCGGGGCGGGTTTCTTGGTACCCAGACCCGCCCCGTGGCAGGTCGGGTCCAAGTCGGGTAATTGATCACGGGTCGCGGGTCGGGGCAGGTCGACCCAATGGGTATGCAATTTATATGAAAACATTAGAAATATTCGTTATTTTTATTATAAGACTAAGAAAAAAACAATATTATGACAATTGTAGTTAAATTATGGGCTAATACCACTGGAAATACCATGCTGAAGAATGGTATTTCCTGTAGTTAAATTATTGGAGAAATTGAGGTTTTTACTAATTTACAACTTTATTATAGCCAAAATATGAAGCAATAAAAGGAAAATTCTAAGTAATTTGACTAAGATTACATGTAATTTAGACAAGAACGGGTCGAGAATGGAGCGGGTCAGGGCATATCGGGTCGATGAGACTACCCATGCCGGCCCCGCCCCAAAACAAGTCAAACAGGTCTGGTAAAACGGGTCAGGTCGAAATTGCTATCTCTAGCCATCCTAGTCATAAACATACAAAATAGAAAGAAATTTTATATTAAAAAAAGGACAAATCCATACGCGTCAATTTCTGAATATACAAAAATTAAATCAAAATAGAAAATAAAATAAAAGCTATCACCGCTATATAAATCGCACAACTGGCTCCATCTTTCTGGTGTGTCTTCGAAAAAAAAAACACAAAATCAGAAAAGAAAAAATTACAAAATCCCGTGGTCACATCTTCTCGCCCGATCTCCATATCCCCCGTTCATCCTTCTTCTTCTTCACCCTGCCTTCGTTCTCGTTCTGTCCTTTCCGTTTCCTGCTCTCTCTATTCTGTTTTCCCCTCTGTTCTCGCTTCTCTCTCTCAACCTTCCGAGTCACTCGCTCTTTCCTGACTCGCTGAGCCATCAATCACACCTCACCCCCGTCCCTTGCTCCGCTCTTTCTCAGTCTCTTTTGCGTTCCTTCTTAGCTTCCTCTCAGGGGGACCAGGACCGTATCCTGAATCGCCATTTTTCTCGCCACCCCCGATTTTATCTTCTCCTTTCCGACGGTGAAAGAAAGTTTCCGTGACGAAAATTAGGTTTTACGGATCGACGATGGGGTTGCAGGAGGAGATTGTTCCGTATGTGAACGGAGGCGGCGGCGGAGGACCGTACAACGACAAGGAGGAAGTGGAAGACACGGTGATGGACGTCTCCGCTGCGCTAGGGATTGGATTTCCTCTTCAGAGGAAACACGTTATTGTCGGTTACGCCCTTACCTCCAAAAAGATTAAGAGCTTTTTGCAGCCTAAGCTCGAAGGTTTAGCTAGGTAAATTTTCAAATAAATCCCCATGCGATAATCTGGAATAATAATTGCCATTCATCATATATCTCTCTGATTACATTTCCCGATTTTGCTTTCTGTAATTCTGGATTGCTACTGTTCTCGATTATCGCCCGAGCAAAAAAGAAGGAAGCTGAGAACGGTTGCTTCTGTATTTTCGCGTTTGTTGAACGTTTCGGCAGTTTGGAATTACCGTCGCTCGTTGCGGCTGTGGCTTAGATTCGCGGGGAGAGTCTGTTCTAACGTTTTGCTCAGATCTTTTCTTTTCTTTCATTTGCCTCTCTCTCCTGGTGGATTCTTTTGGTGTCTAGAGCTACTGGTACTGGAATATTCTGGTATTTACCTGTCTTTGTCGTTTGGTGGGTGAGAAAATGAAAGTGAAATGAAATTGAAATCAAAGGGAAATGGGCACTCAACAACCTCCTTCACTTCCCTGTAAATCCTTTTTATTATTGCTTTCTGTGTAGTCAGGACTTCTATGCTAATGTTGTAAATTATTATCTGCAGTGGACTTTGACTCCCTGCTGTAGGAAAATTGGTTTTAGTTTAGGCAAGTTTGATCTTCTGTTTTGAATTATGGAGATCTCTCCATTGACATACGGTCTTAGCCTTAAAGCGACATGAACTCGACCATTGAACTGGCATATATAGTCAAATGGCATGCATGTCAATGATACAACTGTGATGGTTACTATCAGAGCGCATGGTTTATCTTTTATTTGGTAGCCTTTTTGTCCATGTCTTGCTGAACCTCTGCAATGTTTGGAATGGTTCAGGAACAAAGGGATCTTGTTTGTTGCAATTGATCAAAGCAGGCCACTTTCAGATCAGGGACCGTTTGACATTGTGCTGCACAAGGTTAGATTTTAATTTCTACACGGTTCTTCACATTAATTCTGTTTCATGGGTAGCCTTATTTTGTGGAGGGCTCACACGTTCCGATTGTAATTCTTATTGCAGCTTACTGGGAAGGAATGGCGCCAGATTCTTGAGGTGCGTCTTTCTTTCTTGCTCTTCTCCTTTGAGCATTAGTGGGTAGAGAATAGATTATTTAGTGTCTGCTTAGTTACTTGCAATATCTATGTTAGTATTGGAGTCAACTATCACTTCACCGTTCCTTGTTCTGTAAACTGTTGCATCAACTAGCAGTTTTAAATGCTTGCATCTCTTATATATGTCTGACAAAAATTGCAGAATACTAGCCTTTCCTCCATGCATCATGAATTTGATAGTTGAGAGCGAGGCCAGCAAGTGTGGAATTTTCTACTTCCATGGTCATTTATCTGATTCTTTCAGGTTTTCGTAAGCATATTTTGATTCATTTATCTGCTTACTGTGCTATCTCCTTTTTAGAAGTTGGCAGGATTCCTTTTGTTTTTATCCTTGTTCTGAGATGTTGCCAGATGTCATTTATAGTAATTGCTGTGGGTGAGTGATTGCCTAAATGATCACTAAATATCTTAGGTTTCCACAAGATATTTTGTTGAGCTATCTGACTTCACCTGACTAAGTGTCATGTGATATGAAATGTTGGTGCTAAGCGCAGCCCACTAAAGCTAGTCTAGTACGCGATGTTTGTTGGAGCTATCTGGCCTCAACCTGACAAATTGTCTTTTTCGTAAGAAATGTGGCCCTGAGCTTAGCCCACAGTTAAGCTAGCCATCCCATATTTGTTAGTTCAAGGCGTAAACCGAAGTTTAAATGTAGATTTTTTCCTGTATATTGCCCACTTATTCAACTTCATCGAGGTCAATTTTGGATACATAAAATGCCCTTTTTGCTTGTTAATTCGATCAGAATGTACTTGGCCTCTTGACATCTGGGAAACACATCTATTTGCATCTAAGTGACTAAGATGTGGTTTGGAGAACTTGGAACTTCAGTTTTAGTGGACGAGTCCTATAAAAAAAAACTCTGGCGGGTGGATCTGTGTTAATGAGGATGATTGCTTGTGTATTGGTATGATATTCTCATTTTTTGGTATGATAAAGTTTTCTCTTCTGACCTCGTGTATGCTAAAAGATCCCTGTGTCTGTACTCTTGTCATGGTCCAGATGATATTGGTGGGTGATATGCTTAGGTATTCTTCAGAGATTTGTAGTTTATTCTCTGCGGTGTGGGGTTGGGAGAATTTCTTCCCCATTTAGGCCACTTTTTAATTTTTTTATTTTTTTGTTGATGCTTGAAACTGGCCGTTTTGGTTTCTTGAACCACCTGAAGATTTATAGCTTCGTATTTTAATGGGGATATCCATGTGAGCAAGGAAGATTTCTATGACAACAGCACTGTTTTTTCTCCTGTGGCACGACAATGTAAACCATAAGAAATTAATAATCTAGGTGCTGGTGCTAGTGGCAGAAATTGCTTCATGATGCCAACCACTACGGCATATTAGTAGCATGATTCAGCTCCACTTTGTCGGTTTCTTGTTCCAAAAATTGTGATTGTTCTTGATGTAACAGTATGTTCTCGGCATGTTTTGTTTTTCTAAGCCCCTTTTGATTAATGATTAACTATCTTGAGGATTTGATTTGAGGGAATTTTCTCAAGTAAATGTGCTGCACTTTTGTCACTTACACACCACACTGGCTTTCTTTTTTCAGGACTACAGAAAAACACATCCAGAAGTAACAGTTCTTGATCCTCCTGATGCGATACAACATTTGCACAACCGCCAGTCCATGCTTCAGTGTGTTGCAGACATGAATTTATCCACTTCCTATGGTCTGTCTGCTTTACTAAAGTCATTTGTTTATATCGGATTGATTTCCATGGAAATTGTTTAACTCATGGTTGTGAGATTGACACAATCTTACTGTGAGTTTGTGTTGTATCTTGTCGCTTTAGGAAAAGTTGATGTTCCAAGGCAATTGGTTATTAAGAAGGATGCCTCATCTATTCCTGATGCAGTTACAAAAGCTGGCCTAACGCTTCCGTTAGGTGTGTCTCTGCATTTTGTTTCATGTGTTCTCTCTTTCGTACCAACTTTGCGGCCTTAGAAAACTCATTTTAGTGATATTTGCTCCAGTTGCAAAACCATTGGTTGCTGATGGGAGTGCAAAATCACATGAATTATCCCTTGCTTATGATCAGTACTCGCTTCGGAAGCTTGAACCTCCACTTGTTCTTCAGGAGTTCATTAACCATGGTAAGATTATGTTAAACTTATGTTGTTATGATCATTGTGATTTGTGATCATGATTATAATCTAGCCTATTGTCTATATATAATTGTAGGAGGCGTACTTTTCAAAGTCTACATTGTTGGGGAAGCCATAAAGGTTGTTAGGCGGTTCTCTTTGCCCGATGTCTGTAAAAGAGAGCTTGCCAACAATGCTGGTGTTTGCCGGTTTCCTCGTGTTTCCTGTGCTGCAGCTTCTGCTGATGATGCCGATCTAGATCCTGTTATTGCTGGTGAGTTGTTTTGCTCCAGTATGATACTACTAGATGACAGCTCAATCAACAAACCATGCTGTGTTTCTGACAAATCTCTCTTAATATACTCCAATCCTGACAGAGCTTCCACCGCGACCTTTGCTTGAGAAACTTGGAAAGGAACTTCGTCGTCGACTGGTAATTGTTATGTACAGATTTGCAGCTTTTCTTCCTAGATTGTATGTCAATTCCGTCGACTTGTTTAACACGTTGATTAATGCTGTGCTTATACTATTTCAGGGACTTAGGCTTTTCAATTTGGATATAATACGGGAGCATGGAACTGGAGACCAGTTCTATGTCATCGACATTAACTACTTCCCAGGTAATGTCTGATTTTCTGTTTTGGTAGCTTGTACAGCCATGACTTAGACCTGTCTCAAAGATCTATAAGTAATTGCTTACCTCTGTGTGTCCTCGACACTGCAGGTTATGGGAAAGTGCCGGAATACGAGCACATATTTACAGATTTCCTTTTAGGCCTTGCTCAGAGTAAATACAAGAAGAGACCTTACCAATGAACGTCGCGTCCTTTCTTCCCTCCCCCCCAAAAAAAAAGAAGAAAAAGAAAAAAAGAAGAAAACAGTTGTGTGACACTATGGCAAAAGAGAAGAATGGGACTCGAGAACTTGAAAGCCGACGAAGAAGAAGGCCGATGCATCAGCTTTTTAGTTCGCTGTCCTAATTGCTCTTGTGCAGCAGCTTGAAGGCGGGACCAGTCATTTCAAGCCCATGCACAAGGAGGAATGATCCAAACCCTTCCAGCTCTCTGTAAATTATGGACCAGTTGATTGCTGCCGCAGCACAGCAAGAAAGGGTTCAGCATCAATTCACTATCTTCCTTCACGTAGTCGACAGTCGGATTTGGTGTTTGTGCAAAGCTCTGCTATGAGGCATTGGTGAATCAAAAGAAGTTACCAGCCAGCTTCGTAGATCTCTTGTATAGGCGTTTGTTTGGTGTTCGCCTGACCTATTCCCACCACGGGTTCCTTAGAATAAGCCTTTCATGTCTAATTTTTATCAAGTTCCATGTACATTCTTTTCTTCCTATTCCATGGTAGAATAATATGAACTCTCTCCTCACTTCACTGGAAAAGGATTCATTACGTTTATGTTCTTCATTCTTTTGCCTTGTTCTAGCAATCTATTTCAATTTAAGCTTACTACCTACCGCAAACAAAAGTTATACTGCTTGCTTTCCCTTCTCGTTCTCCTTATCCTCATTATTTTATAAAGAGGCAAAACGTCGAACAGTTGGTCTGCCACATTGCCTAATCCTTCTACCAGTTAGTGTTCTATTGTGCAGTAAACTCCATTACCATCGTACCATAATCAGAAGCGGAAAACGAGTGCGACATTCCCAATGTAATCAAGGGACGGAAAACAAGAGTACATAAAGGCAGAGCAGCAAACAGACCATCCGAGTTACAATCAAAACGCAAGACAACAGCACGAAGAAGGAACCACCAACTTGAAACTGATCCCTGTAACTAAGCAGCAGAAAGCAAAGGAGCCTCAACGGCAGTACCGCCATCAGCATCACCGCCATCGGCGGGGGATTCCGCGGCGGAAACCAGAGTCCAGTCGGGAGGAAGCTCCGGAAGTGGCGCGTAAACGGTGGGCTTTCGCCTGATATCCCACGGCTGACTCTTCCTCGGCCTCGTCTTCATATGATGAGCCGTCGCTTTCTTCGTCGGCCTCGAAGAGGATTCAATCACCAACCCGCCGCCGCCGCCGGGAGCCGGAGTCAGTCGTGCTGCTCCGCCATTGAAGGGTTTGAAGGCGGATGTTGAAGGGGAGGATGATTTGGGTAGGAGAAGCAGTGGAGAGCCGAATAGGGAGGAGACCGACATGGATGCTTCTTGTTCCTCGTTGCCTTTTTCTAGTATTGTATTCTATTGGAGGGATTCTCGCTTTCGTTGCCTAGTTCCAATGGCTGTCGAGAGGGGATGGGTTGGCTTCGAGGATAAGAGGTCTCGCGAGGTGATGGGGTCAGCGCGGCGTGGCTGTGGCTGTGTCTTGTGGATGTCGTTCTCTTCCGGTAGGATTGAAAAGAATTTTTCAGGATAGGCCATGCGTTCATATAACTAACATTGGGCCCGTTCTATCTCTTCTCCTTATCATTTATGGGCTCACCGGGCCTCGTTCCTTGTAAAAGTGGGTCAAGCCCTCACACCCAGTCCTGACGGGTGGACCTTTTAACCGAACAAAGGAATACTCTTGGCACAATGTTAAACTTCTGGGAAGGCAGTGCACTAGGACTAGGAGTGACTAAACGAATCTCTACTTGTTCTGAAATCATCCCCACACTCTGTCCCATAGCTTTGCTCTAGATCATCTTGATCCTTAACACCTGCACTACTACCCATATCCACCTTCTTCTCCAGACTCTGTTTGTTTTTCCCTCAATTGGTAAAAGCACAATCATGCCCAAAGACACAGCAAGAATGACAAACCATTGGGGGCATGACAGTATTCTACTAAGATAAACATATCATTCATGACATCAGGGGTAGTACTAATTCAATCTACCTTCTATATTTTGGCGCTTACCTCTACACAGATTTTCACTGATCCCACCTTGTTTCCAAATCTCGTTGGTTGATCCATACAAAAGACCTGTCAATTAGACTGACAACACGACCCAAACCCTCCTTTGATGACAATTCAGCTTGTAAACTGGAGAGTTTTACCCAAATTTGGATAGTTCAGTTATTGATCTTTAGGGCTTGGATACTCGATACCCACTTTCGTAAGCATAACATTTTGTTACAACAGTGCCAAGGACCTCTTTTAAACACCCAGCGAGCCACCGTCTCTGAAGGAAACTAAAATATTACAAAGCGATCTTCAAACCAAGAGACCTTCACCACCCCTCTTGTCCCCATAGCCAATTTTCATAAGATCGGATCGTAGCAAGAGACGGAGGACCCCTAAAAAAAGGACTCATGAGTTGTGCTCCAAATACTTTGCTCCTGCTTCCATGACGGATATGGGGATTCGCATCAATCTGTTGATAAGTTCCTGCTTAAAATACTCCAAAGATTTGTCCTCCTCAGCTCCAAAGAGAGAATAACAGGAGAATGACCGTCGCCAACAACGCTCGACGAGGACCCATCGACGACAGCTGCCATCAGGGATCGAATAGACTTGAAATGATTTTTAAAAAAGATGAGAGAGTGATTCAGGCCTAATTGTACATATTTTACCCCTGTTTTCTCTAGGCGTTTGTGGCAATTTCGCTCCTAATAGGGTGGTTTTACGCTAGGTTTCTTGTGTTTTAGCGTGTTTCAGGATCCAACAGGTGAAACCAACCCCGGATTCGAAAGTTGGAAGAAAAGGAGCAAAAAGGAGGAAAGAGCCTATGTTCAAGGTCTGCCATTGGAGTTCAAGGTCTTACAGGACCGTGAACTGGAGCCAGAATCCGTGAACCGCGAAGCGTCCAGGGCGAATGCGAAGGTTACTGACACCGAGTGAGTTCAGACCGTGAACTCATAAGCACAAACCGTGAACCGTGGATGTGAAGCGGTGCGTTTTGGTCTCAGCACTAATTCACGGACACGTTTCAATGTTCACGGCCGTGAACTGAGGTTTAAGACCGTGAACTGCTTAACGCGTCCTTGAACTAAGACCGTGAACTGCTCAACTCGTCCTTGAACTAAGACCGTGAACTGATCAACGCGTCCTTGAGCTTAGCTCTAAGACCTTGAAATGAGCCTGATTTGGGTATAAAAGGAGAGGGGAGCTGAAGGAGAAGGGAGAGCTGGTTTTTTAGGAAGAAACAATTTCTTTCTCTAGGGTTTCAACCTAAAACACCAAAGGGGAGTTCTAGTGAGAGAGAGAGAGAGTGCTAAAGTGATCTTGGAGCATCATTGGAGGCTTAGGTGGAAGATTAAAGCCTAGAAGAAGAAGAAGAAGAAGAAGATCTTGAGCTGAAATCTGTAATCCCTCTCTCTCTCTCTCTATAGAAACTCACTATTTTCTCTTTGGGTGTTGTAGATCCCTAACTAATACTTTGTAATTACTTGTTTAGATTGAATGATTGTCATTGGGTATTGGTTAATTCAATGATTGAGGTAGTATTTATCATGATTGTGCATGCTTGTGCTTAGCAACCTAGGGGTTGTGCATGTTTTGTACTTAGCATCCTTAGGTTTGTGCATTTTGGTGCTTAGCAACCTAAGGAGTGTGCATAATTGTGCTTAGCTCCCTTAAATTTGTGCATGTAGGTGCTAACAATCTAATTAGCCACCTTAGCCTAGCTTAGAGAGGAAAATCCCCCTTCCAAGGGAGACTCAATCGAGTTGGTTTTTCTTCCGCTTTGTAAGCTACCTAACTAGGTTAAGTTAGGGCAACCCTCAATGTTGACTTAAGCAAATCGGTTAATTGCGATTAAACCGTCCGACCTTTGAGTTGCGTGAAGGAGTAAGTCAACTACCGATTGTCTAAACCGAGAGGGTCGAGTGACACGGCCTTTCATGCTTACCTCGGTTTAGCAATTGAGATTGTGGTCTCCGACCATATATGCATCCCTCTACAGTTCGCGGTTACCTTGCTCATAGCAATCGTTTCAATCCAACGAGTCTTGGTAGCTAGTTAGGGGAAGCAACTCCTAGGTGAAGCTCCCTTAGTTAGAGTTTTCCTTTATGTACTTTTCCTTGCTTGTTTAGTTTATAGTTCCATTAGTTACAAACCCAAAAGTTGCTTGCTAGATAACAACCTAAGCAATTGAAGTAGGGGTACATGGACCGGCCTGGGTTGACAATTTAAATACTTACGTTATACTGCACCCGGCTAGAGTTTAAAACTTGGACTCTAGTCAGGATTAATTTGTTGTGTAGTTTCGTGCGAGTCAAGTTTTTGGCACCGTTGCCGGGGACCTTACGGTCTGTTATCTAGAAAAGGTCTCTTAGTGTTACTCTAGCATTTTCTATCTTGCCTTTTTGTTTGTGTTTTGTGTTTTGTGTTGTGTTTTCTTTACCCACTCCTCATCTTGAAGGGTGGTCTGTGTTTGTTTGATTTTGTTTTTGTGTTTTTGTTTGTGTAGGTTATGAATCATGGATCCCAATGGCTTCTACAATAGGTGGGGATATCCACAACCACCCGAATGGGGTACCCCGGAGCTTCATGGAGTGAACAAGAATGGGGAAGCCAAGGATCCGGGTTCTAATACCAACCCCCCTTCCAAGAAGAACAACCATACCATTGGGGGTATGAAGAGGCTTCCCCATATCAAGAAGGTTTCCCTCCACAACCCGAGGAGAAATCCAAGTTGGAGTTGGCCATGGAAGCTTTCATGGGACAATCATCGAGACCATGTGCCACTCCACAACCGGAGCCAAAGAGCAAATTAGAGCTTAATGGTTTTCTTTTGAAATACCTCTGGAAAAACTTAATTTTCAAGCTTAAAAATATACTTATCGGCTCTAAATGAGAAGAAAAAAACTATTAAGGATAGGTTACTCTGCCCCCAGAGGAACTCCAAAACCCAAAGGTTCAAAATCTCTTAGGGGTCGTTTGGAAGTTATAATTCTAGATGAATGATTCTTTGAATTCATGTATTCTGGAGAATCCATCATTTTTTTGCTCCAAAACTTTATTCAATACATGTATTTGAGGTGGGCCTTCAAATCTCATATCACCCACAATCACTCATTTTAAATCTCAACAAAAAGGTGAGATTCTTCCTTTGAGATTGTTGGCTTTAATTTGTTTCATTTTTAGCTCATAAAGTGATTTTTTTTCTTTTCTTTAAAATTTTTGAATGACTACAATCAAACAAGACATTCTCCCAATCATCTAATTCTTACAATCTTTGTATTTACAATAGATGTATTCATCAAATACACATATTTGAAGAATCTCAACTTCCAAACGACACCTTAGTGTAAAAACAATGATCATTTTGGCACCCGATGTCACTTTACTTATATTGTTTATCACTACCATATTTGATACATTTTCTCCTTCTATCAACGCATCTTTAGTACTTTCTCTTGTATTTCATAACTATTTTATCAATGAACCCTTAATAGACCTAGATTGTGTTTTTTATACTATTTGATGCCTTCTTGGTATATTTTTTTTTAATGGTTTTCAAGGTATAAAACAACTTAGGAAGATTTGGATCAAGTTTTGGATAACTCTGCAGGACCAAAGGAGTGATGAAGAGAATAATATGGAGCTTTCATGATAAAGACGAGGTCCAATGACAGAGGAGCCTACTAGTAAACCTACTAGTAACCCCGAGTAGAGCCCAAGAGAAGCCCATTGGAGGAAGACTCGCCCAAACATAAGCAAGAACCAGCGCTGCCTCCCATGGAAACCTGGACAAATCGTGATCAAATTTTTATGAGAGGTTGTCCATGGGACAAGATGTCCAGCCCAAGAAGAAAAGTGGTGCCAACGCCAACCGCCGCCCAGCCGCTGCCAAGAAGGTTCAAGCCCAAATAGAAGATCTTTAGGCCTTGCTTCGGCCCTGATTCAAATAAACCTTTTCCTAGTAGGTTTATGAGGGGTTTGGCCGAGTTTTACCACTATAAATAGAGGCTTAGACTCATTAGTTTAGTAGTCTCATAAATTCACTAAAAACTTCTACAAACACTTTGTTCGAGTGAGAGCTTAGTATTCATAGGAGAGGATGCAACTAAGGATGCCTTCATCATTGATGGTGATACCCTCCTTCTCTTCTATGTATAGCTAGTTCGAAATTGATTGTTTGAGAATATTTACTTATTTATCGTTGTATGTATTGATGCTATGGTTTCATATTATGCTTCTTGTTGATGCTTGTGATTTTTGATTCCCTATGTGTATGCATTGATGCTTTATGTTTTGGTGCCTATTTTTGATTCCATGTGTGTATGCATTGATGCTTTATGTTTTGGTGCCTATGTGTTTGTTATCGATGCTCATTTAGTTCAATACTTTCTTATCATCGATGCTTATGACTCTATAGTATACTACTATATGCATTGTGCTTAGTATCATCTAGGTTGGTGATGATCTAAGGTTGGTTGATCATTCCACATCATACACATATTAGATAGCGACATATCACATAACAGTAGTTTCCTGACAACTTAACATGATATTATAAGCAATACCATAGTAGCACGTAATAGATGAATATGCATCAAATGGTTAGGAATCACAAAGCTAAGGTATACGAATAATGTAAGCATCACATGACAGATCCGTTGTAAGACAGTGGAAAATTTAAATGAGTAGACAAATGTTACTTAGATCATATTTGCTTGAGGGTCCTAATCGGTCTATCACTCAAAACCGAAAGCCGCAACCTAATCTATGTGAAAATGCTAAACTAGGCGTGAATAGAAAAAACTAAATCAAGCAATGAAAAGCAATAACTATTCAAATGGAACTTAAGCGAGATTAAAGATGACCATTCAGATTATGCTTCCCCTTGGTTTTGATGGATTTCTGTACCAGGTGAATTGTTCAATTATGGATGCACTTTCACCCTACCATATGTGTAACGATGGTAAGATATAGCAGATTACGATGGGTCCTACAAAGTTCTCTCTTGAGGAGTCGGGGTAGCTCAATTGATCGATGATCGATTGTGATGAGATTTCCTTTTCCAGTCTCATCCAAATCACAAAACATATTCGAAGCTATCAACACATGAGAAGATAGCTTCGACTATATGAGCAACCATATTTATACAAAAACAATCACATAACATGAATCAATCCCATACACAAAAAACCATCATCCTAGGGTTCTACATAGTTCAGAAAGTCTAAAGGTTTAGCTATCCATGCATGCAAAAGAAATCACAAGAAAAGAAGGAATAAAGATCACCATAGCGAGGTTATTCTCTGATCTTGCTCATCGTACAATCAATGAACCTATGGATTTCACTTAATCTAGGGAGGTTAGTGCAGTGAGTATGAGAGATGTGATAGTCAATGAGATGCTTTGATCATATTAATATGTTTTTTAATACCATGCTACTTGATTCATTCTAGATTTCTGATTATGCATTGAGTTTCCACTTTTTAAAAGTTTTTCATTGGGTGAACTGTATCTTTTCTCAAATGAAACAACTACCTATCTAGACATGTATGTTTCATTAGAAATTTGCCATGCTATGTTTCAAAATAAAATGTGGGATAAGCTCAACATGTGAGGCATCTATTCTTTGCTAAAATCGGGTTTTGAAAGAGATACTAGTTGAGTTTCAGTGACCCTATTCGATTCTAGTTCCTCTCTAGTACATTTGGAGGTGGCAACATTGGTGAACTCCAAGAGACCGCCACCGGTCTAGGCCTATGGAATCGTCGAGAATATCTCTTACTTCGGCCCCAAGTAAAGAAATCCATGTCCCGGTGGTATCAGGACTCTTCGATCGACTTTTAGGAGGGAAAACTAGAAAAATCATTCACTAATGTACTATAAATAGAGGCTTAGGCTCTATCTCTAAACACAAATTTTACACTCACTATGCCCTAATAGGAGGGACAAAGTTATGTGGGAGTTCGAAAAGGGTTCCTTCATCATTGATGCCTTCATGATCTATGGTGATGTCTTTCTTTTCTCTTAAGGTGTACTACTTATGTATAGTTTAGGGAAGTGAATTCTTTGATGCTTCATGCATCTATGTTCTATGATTTAATGAGATGCTATTTTCATTAGATACCTCTTTCATTCATGTTTTAGTTATCTAACTTTTTAATCATCCTATACTTTTATCATATATCGTATGTTACTATGATCGTTGTTTATATTACTATAATATGTTGCATGGGACCCAACTTATGTGGCGAGCATCTATTTAAGGCGTGTATGGAGGGAAGTGTACATGAACCCTTCATGCATGAATGAGATACATATTTGATATACTAGATCATCGATACCATAGACCATTGCAATGACTCGTAGAGGCCCTTAAATATCAATGAACTATCCATACTTCCTTTATTGATTGTAGTCTAGTGGCATGAAGCCAAAGCACGCTTTGGGTAGTCATGAATCCTTTTGCATGTGGCAAAAACTTGATTAGGATGGCCTTACTAGAAGGGATAGGGCATCACAATAGATCGATGCATCATATCAATGAGAATGCATGCATGATCATCTAGATGAAACAACCTACATAATGTAAGTTACCTGGTTTCTTTCTTATTTATTTTTTTATGCTTTTGTTATTAGCTATTAGAGTGTTGAACATGTACTAGGGAACCTCAACTCACCGTGTTTAATTTTCTTTATTGTCATTTGAATGTAAGGTGTTAGTTTTGAGTAGTTAAAAAAACATCATATTGAATACGATCCTAGTCATTCCTATGATTATCACTTGTACTGCAATCAATCGGCCTTTTCCTTCTCAAACAGAGAAGAAGCAATAACTGGAGGATATTCAGACAGAATTCAATACCAACCTTGATATGATTGATAAACTTATGAAAAATACTGAAAACCACTTCAATGCATGGAAGCCCTCCGGAAAAACTAGGAAGTTGCTATCCAAAATTTGGAAGCACATCTGAGTTCTATTAAACAATTATCCAAACGACCTATGAGTGCTTTACCAAGCAATACCCTCTAAATGCCAAAGGGAACTCTCTTGTTTATTTCCCTCAGAAGTGGAAAAGAGCCTAAAGATAACTTTGCAAATGCTAAGAAGTCTACTTTATTTCACTTATCAAGCATATTCAACTGATCGGACTAGCCACTCATGAGCACAGAAAACATATAAGACCCAAAAATGGCACCTTATTCGCCAAAATAAGCGTTAAGTTCCGTATCCTAGAGCTTATGGACGATTTTATGGTTCTTGAGTTCCTCTGGAGGCAAAGTAACCCATATGTAAAAGTTGTCTTAAAGTAGATCGTAAGGAAGTATATTTATAGGGTCAAATATTATATTTTTAATAAAAACAAAATATCTTCGATTGTTAGTTGAAGATGGATATTAATTTTTTTTCATTTGGTATTCAAAAAATTAAAATGAACATAGGGATAAATACCAAGTGTATATCTTTTTCATCAAAATACTTGTATAAACTTTCGATATGCATATTTTAATTTTTCTTAATTTAAATTGCATATTTAGGTTTACTTTTTATAGTTAGGTGATATCGAAATGATTCGAAGCTGAAACCATCAGGTTGAACAATAGTGGTGGTAACATCATATCAAGCCCTTGTTCGCCATTGAACTATTTATTCGTTGTTGAACTTGAAGGAGATATGCCAATCTTTGTAAAAATGCAATTATTTAGTGTTCGAGTATTAGTGAGATTTCGCATACTTGAAAATAGTTTGTGTCTATTGGAAGATATATGCGTTTATTTTCCCATGTACACTTACCCAATGTTCATGAAAGAGGGAGAAAAATTGAGAAGAGAGGAGAAATTTAGAGCTGTGAAAATTTAAGGATGGTGAAATGATGAGGAGAAAATGATGTTTAATTTTTAAGAAGAAAAGATATTGGAAAGAGAAAAAATAGAAAGGAGAAGTTTTCATTCTAATTGGAGAGCAAATGCTGCAGTCTTTTTTTATTTTTGAGTGATATCAAGAGAAGACAAGAGTTATACGAGCAAAACTACACAGGAATCCCCTATAAGCGACGCTCTAGTGAAGGCACCCAATGAAGTTGAAAGACTCTTAACTCTAAGATAGACAATAGCAGTGCTTTACGCGTCACTCTATGGGCAGTACTGATGGCTACTTTAGGAACCACCCTAAACTCTATACAAACTGACAAATAGTCTAAAAACTGACGACACTCCCAGAGCACCAGACCTCAAAAGGAATCTTCAAGGACACCTTGCTGGATCTTGTTGACGGTCACCTCGGAATTCCCTTCCACTATCATGTGAGCCAAAGATCTTGAAGCGACGATGGATAAAGCATCTCTTACTGCCAGGACCTTTGCCATATAGGGGTTGACTACTCTTTGGTGACACATATCGACTGCCAACACCACAATGCCCATCTCACCCACAGATAGCAAGACCAAACGAGCACCCTAAGTCATGAGCATCTGCACCGAAATTGAACATCAAATAGTCATCTAGTGGAGGCTCCCAAGAGGCGGCAAGAGGATTTGGAAGGATGGATCTGGGGGTGGAGGTGGGGGTCAAAATTGGAACTTCAAGTAATTAGTTGTAGAATTGTCGTGACTTTTGAATTCTATCAATATGAGCAAATGCTACAGTCTACCTTAGCTTTTCCCCCTAAAATAATCATCCCTTGTAATGTGGCAAACTCATGAACATGAGGATTTTTTTTTAATCCCAACAGTTTCTTCCAGTAATTTCCCCGCTCCTTATTATCCCTCCTTCTCAAAATGAGTGATAGTTAAATCTCAAGTTTTGGTTGAGATTGTTGAAATTATTTGGCAGAGATTGTTGGGTTTTGTTTTGTTCCAACTATATCCCTACTTTTTTATGCGTGTTGCTTTTTTAATATTAAAAAAAAAAGACAAAAGTGACATTTCATCAAAAAAGCAATATAACTTATTTCAATATTTGAATAACTATCACAGAAATCAAACGATGTAAACTACAATACACCATTTTTTTATATACATGTATATTATTATGCAAGCATTGATAACAATACATCAATTTAACTATTATCAAAACCAAACGACCCCTATATTCTAAACTAGTGATATTACTTCTAGAACAAGCCCTTATTTTGTCGATGTTAAATTTTTTCCTATTATCCTTTCTCATCTGTGGCTGGTGCATCGCCCCCTAATCTATATAGTAGCAGTGTAGCACAAAGAGCTCGTTTTGCTCCAAAAGTAACATTTGTGTTGAAAACTTGATATCCACTATCATACATGTGAAACAACACATTTTTTCAATAATCAGTTTTAATTTAAAAGTAGAACACATGCTTCAACCACCACAATTTCTAAAGACAACGTTTTTTTGACATGAAAACTTCATTCATTACCCAAGGAAGCGGTTACAAAGTCCTAAGGGTGAACAAGGAGAGGCGAAATGATATTCAGAATTAACATCCAATCCTGTGGGAGTTCATCCCGTGCAGCCGAACGTGCAACCCAATCAGCTCGAGCATTGAGTTTCCTTCTAAAGAAGGAGACCTTGATACTCGGGTGTCTCGCAAGCAAGTCCACCATGATCCCTAACCAGGCAGAGATTCTCCATGGCCACGACTCATGAGGAGCCGAGAGAGCAAGAACCAAAGGCAGACAGTCCGATCGAATCCAGCATGGGACCGAAAGGTGGCAGGCAAGTGAGAGGGCCTCAAGAAGAGCTTTTGCTTCCGCTTCCAAAGGTGAAGAACAAAGTTAGTGCAAGAAAAACGAACCAATTAGAGAAATTTGTTATCAAGTTATGGGGTTGGGGGGAAAAGAAATCGAAAAGGACATAAGCAAAAATCACTCGAAAGTCGAAACAAAAGAGGAAATAATAAAATTATTCTGTATTATCCCAGGAAAAACTAAATAAATCAAATCTATATTTTCGGGTGAGAGGAAAACCAATTGTTTTAATAAATGGAAAATTAAATAACAGAAGATTTTGCTTCTGCAGGTCACTACTGCCTCACTGGCCAGAGAGAGAGAAAAAGGAAGATAAAGCGTCAAACCTCAAACCCATTCTGACTGACTGGTATTAATCGCCAGCCTGTACACAGCTGTACCCACAGCACAGCAAACCCTTCCCCCCACCCTCACACCAGCCTGTTCGCAACTAATACCCCTCTGTCTCTCTCTCCTTCCCTCTTCTCTTTCCTCCAGCCACCACCACTATGATGCTATTTGCTTCTGCAGCATCAATGGCGGTAACCCAGCTCGCCAATGCCGCCGCTGAACGATCTTCCTGTTCCTCGTCTCCCCTTCTCCTAATCCTTCTTCCTCTCTTCCGCCGCCCCCTTTAATCTCCAGTTCTCCCCCCTTCCCACCACTCAGTTGAACTGAATTAGAGACCAATCAGCCCTTCTCTCTCTTTCTCTTTTCCCTTCCCATGGATCCCTGTCCTTTCGTCCGACTCACAGTCGGCAACCTAGCCCTCAAAATCCCTGTCGCTTCTAAACCGGCTCGCTCCGTAGTCCACCCTTCCTCCTCCCCTTGCTTCTGCAAGATCAAGCTCAAGAACTTCCCCTTCCAGACCGCCGTCGTCCCTTACATTCCCGCCGACAACGCTCAGTTCCCCGACGGCCAGCCTTTCGCCCACGCCGCCACTTTCCACCTCAGCAAGTCTGATCTCGACCGCCTTCTCGGGAAATCACTCTTCGCCGGGAAGCTGCAGCTTCAAATCTCCATCTACACCGGCCGCCGCGGCACCACCTGTGGGCTCAGCTCGGGGAAGCTTCTGGGAAAAGTCTCCGTTCCTCTGGACATCGCCGGTTCCGAGACCAAGCCATCCGTGTTCCACAACGGCTGGATATCGGTCGGTAAAGAGGCCAGCAAAGGATCCTCTGCTCAGTTTCATCTGAATGTTAAGGCGGAGCCGGACCCTAGGTTCGTGTTTCAGTTCGACGGCGAGCCCGAATGTAGCCCGCAAGTGTTTCAGATCCAGGGGAGTATCCGGCAGCCGGTTTTCACCTGCAAGTTCACCTTCAGAAGCGCTGGTGACCGGAATCAGAGATCCAGGTTAGTTTATTAGTTCAACTTGATTTGAATATTTTTGTTGTTAAAGATTTGATTTGATTCTTCCCCTCCGCTCAAAAAGTAGAGCTGTGAAAAAAATCGTACGGAAAATCTTCATAATCCAATTGAAAGTGGGATTGCATTTACTTTCTTCTACGACAATTCCTAGGGTTTACGTGATTATCTTTTTATCATCATCATATAATAGTTTCAGTCAATTTGCTGATCGCTCTCGGAAAATCTTCACCTGCAGATCGTTACAATCGGAGCCGAGCAGCGGCTGGAGATTCCCGGGCGGATTTGGCAGCCAGAGGGAGCGGTCAATTAACGAACGGAAAGGATGGTCAGTGACAGTACACGACCTCTCGGGATCACCGGTGGCCGCAGCTTCGATGGTGACTCCTTTCGTCCCCTCGCCCGGGTCCGACCGGGTGAGCCGGTCGAACCCTGGGTCGTGGCTGATCCTCCGTCCGGGGGAGGGAACCTGGAAGCCGTGGGGCCGACTCGAGGCGTGGCGCGAGCGCGGGGCCTCTGAGGGGTTGGGTTACCGGTTCGAGCTGATCCCGGACACGAGCGGCGGGATGAGCGCCGCCGGGATCGTGCTGGCGGAATCGACGCTGAGCAGCCACAGAGGAGGGAAGTTCGTGATCGACCTGGGAAGCAGCAGCGGGAGCGGCAAGTCGACGCCGAACTCGCCGGCCTGCAGCCCGCGGAGCAGCGGCGACTACGGGTACGGGCTGTGGCCGTACAGCGCGTACCGAGGGTTCGTGATGGGGAGCAGCGTGGAAGGGGAAGGGAAGTGCAGCAAGCCCAGCGTGGAGGTGAGCGTGCAGCACGTTAACTGCACGGAGGACGCAGCCGCCTTCGTCGCCCTGGCGGCGGCCGTGGATCTGAGCATGGACGCCTGCCGGCTCTTCTCCCAGAAGCTGAGGAAGGAGCTGCTTCCGCCGGACCATAACTCGCCGGCTTGAGTGTTTCCGTGTCGCTGTAATTTAATTTTGAATCGGGGTGGATGGATTTTTAATTCCATCGCAGCGAGAGGATAATCTTTTTTTTTTTTTTTTTTTGGGTTTTTGTGGTAATTTTGCTGGTTTGTTAATTGCTGGAGGAGGGAGTCAGTCAACTAACCAGGTAGGGTGTGTACAGAAGAAGAGGACGGGGGAAGTAAGTGGGTGGATTTAGTGTTAGACTAGACAGGCACGCCTTGTGTTTTTTTTTTAACGTGTGGCTGGCTTGGCTTGGTGGTTTGTGTGGTAGTTTCTTCTACCTGTTTTTTCCTTCACTAACTAGAGCTTGATTAAGAAAAATAACTAGCACTTGGTAAGAGTGTAATTACCGATGGTTTTGTTGATCTAAATTTTCAATTTTTATTCACGGCAATAAGTAAAAAAATCCAAGTGAGTGTGTTAAGAAATGTAGGTCCCGGTGGTTTTCCATCACAGTCGTTGTTGCAGCTTTTATGGGGGTGGATGGTGTCAACTTGTTTGGTTGGCGAACTGGTATTTCCCGATTCATGTTTGGCATTAATGGAAGTAGGGAGTAGACTTGGGGAATACGAGGTGGGTATCCGAAGTTGGAGATGGCAATGAATGACTATATCAAGAATTATAAAATGGTAATATTGATTTCATTCGAGAGCGAATGGCTAATCCAAGATAGGGAAGAGCATTGAACCACATGTGAAAAGGAGAGAGGAATGGGTTGTAATCCGACAAGCACGAAAACAAATATCTAAACTCGAAAATATACAAGTGTCATACTAGTTCTGGATGCAGAGAAGGGCTGGGTCGTGGCCCGGGAGCGGTCCCCTTGGATCTGCCGCTGGATCGAATCAAATCGACTCGATGTTCACCATCGCCCATAATAATTTTTTGTTTATTGGAGCCGGATTTAACGTTCTTGATGGCGGTATCAATGCATATTGATCATAAGTCGTAGGGGATGAAAAATCAACACACATAAAATTGGGGGAAAAGGATAAATGCATATTGATCATAAAACCGTAGCAAGCAACCAATCGCGCACTGCCACTAGGGATGGCAACAAAACCCGAACCCACGGGTACCTATCCGACCCAACCCGGTCAACGCGGGTAAAACCCGTGTTGACGGGTTTTGGGCCGGGTTCGGGTTTAAACCCGCTACACTATTCACCGGGACGGGTTGGGTTTAGGTGAACCCGACCCATGGGTACCCGCCCACACACATATAATTACTTTCCCGATATTTTTAATATTCTAAATAATATATCTTTCTTAAACAATTAATATTCTTTATGTTTGTGGAGACATGTATAATTTGTTCTTTCTAATGGTTTAGAATGAAGTTGATATTATGAAGTGGAGAGTGAAGAAACTTAGTTGACGAGGAAAAAGCTTTCAATTAATATTTTGTTTATAGATGTTTATCTTTAATTTTGAACAATTTGTAATGATCATTTGCTGTTTGCTTGTATGCTCGAGATTTTTTTTTGTATGATTAATTTGTATGAGAAAATTGATGTTAAATTTTTATTTTGAAAGAAACTTGTTATTGTAAATTTTTTACCAAAAAAACCCACGGGTACCCATGAACCCGCGGATACCCAGCGGGTTAGGTTGGGTTTGAGTTTTTCAAATCCAACGGGTTTTACCCCGGATTTTTTTGGCGGATAAACCCATGGGTTTGGGTTTGACAAAACCCGCCCCAACCCGACCCATTGCCATCCCTAACTGCCACCTCTACCTGTACCTCTCCTTTGACCACCACGATCGCAGTTCTCCTCATTGTGATCTCCACCGTCGAACTCTTCATCTTCCTTGCCCCGTAGAAAGGAGAAGAATGGTTGGAGAAGGCAAAACTCGGTGGGGAGGGTGTTTTCTATTGTTTTCCGACAGGTTTTGATGGTGCTATGAGAGTTTTCTGAGTTTTGAAAAGGTTGGAGGAAGATGACGATAGTTCCCTTATTGATGTGTTTTTAAAGTATTCGAGCGAGAAAAACGCTATCAGAATGACAAATTGGGCGCAAATTTGTCTTTAAGCCGCCCCAATTAGCATTTTAGGTGTTGCATAATTGATAACTCAATTGGGGGGTTAGGGTATAATATCATGCCCAAACTTTGATTAATTTATAGTCAAAATAACAAAACTCGACGAGCGTACAGGACACCGAGTAAAAGTTGGAGTGTCGCATACACCAAGGAAGATATCATTGAATTGAGGAGAGTTTAAGACAATGTACTATACTCTAAATCTTAAAGATTAAAGTCTAGGTCTCATTTGTATAAATCTTATACAATAAGACCAATTTAATTAAGAACAATCGTCGATTATGATTTATCGTAATACATATAACAAACTACTTGCACCATATTAGGGTTTAGGGTTTACCATTTGAATAACTAGAACCTAACATTCACTAATTAAAAGTTATAATATAGTATCATGACTCAAAATTCTGTGAATATTAGATTTAGATATCATTCCTATCCACATGTGAGCATACTTTTTTTTTTTACAACCATGTGAGCAACATGACTATCGAATTGGCCAATAGAGTCTCCCATCTCACCCTGTATTTCAACAAATTATGTAGTTTAGTAACAACAATTAACGATAAAAGATGCAATAGGCTCCTCCTCATGAATCTCTCATAGGATCCAATGTTTTTAAAATAATTGTTTTTATCTATTATTATAAATTATAATAACACTTTACCAG